ACTCTAAAGATTTCTAGTAAAATTAAAAAAATTTTATAATAAAGCTTATAGAATATGTTTTAAATAAAAGATTGTATATATAAATTATCCCTTAAATGGTTTTGTAGACAAATTTGCCTGCAATTTTGAAATTTTTTTCTATATTTCTAAATAAATAAAAAATTATTAATGACATAAATATATCTTTAATAAATTATATTATTCTAAGTATATTTTATTAACTTAATTATAAAAATTTTTTAATTATCAAAAAAATTTTGAGTATTAAACAAATAAATTTAGTGCAAATTTGTATAAATATAATTTTACAAATTTAATGATATCTCAAGATCAGGTTATCGGAATTTAACGATTTTGGTATCATTCGAACCGTCTCTATGAGGCGGATCGAATGGTACTGAAAACACTAAATTCTGATCACTGGAACTTGTGATATTAATAGTTTGTTTATTTTAATAAAGCTTAATTATCTCAATAACTACTGGTCCAAATTTAACGATTCTGGCACTATCGGATTTGTCTTTATGAGATGGTTCTAATTGTAGCTAAATCGTTAATTTCTAATCACCAGATCTCAAGAAACCCACAAAAAATGATTCGTGACACAGTTATGTATAGGTATTTAGATTGTTTTTATTGAATTTCTGAGCAAAACTGCGCCACGAATCGTGTTTACGGATATTCTGAGATCTAGTGATCAGAATTTAACAATTTTGGCATCATTCGAACTGTCTCATCAAGACGAATCCAATAGTACCAAAATTGTTAAATTTGAACTGATAGGTATTGAGATCGTTAAGCTTTTATTAAAACAAACAAGATATCAATATCTTAAGATTCAATGATTTGAATTTAGCGTTTTTGTTACCATTCGATCTGCCTCATAGAGACGGATCGAATGATGCCAAACTCATTAAATTCTAATCACTCAATCTTGAGATATTATCAAATTTGTAAAAAGAATTTTTATCTCCAAATCAATGTAGATCTATACTAATTTAATTATCTTAGATCTGTGATAAAATCGGTTTAAAATAAAAGTTATTATTTTTTATGTAAATTATAATATTTTATTAAGAATTATAGATTAGAAATTAATATTTATAAAGTTTATTAAAAAATTAACAAATAATTTTTATAATTAAAGCTTTTTTTAAAAATTAGTTAATTTGAGCTTATATAACATATATAATATAAAATTAAAAAATACAATTATATAGTTTTTATTATTAAATATTTATAAAATAAAAATTAGTTTTATATTTTAAATTTTAAAAAAAGTAAATTAAAAGTATATTTATAATAAAAATTTGCCTGCAATTGCTTACCATTTAAAGGATACCTCATATCATTAATAATTTTTAATTTTATTTAAAAAATTGTAAATACTTTTCAAAATTCTAGGCAAATTTGCCTGGAATACAGTTTAAGAGATATAATAAGAATTTATCTTGATATTTTTTTAATATTTCTAGATTTTAAATTTTTTTGTTTATTTCATACTTTATATTATATATTCTATATTGCAACACCTAATACTTTTTTCAAGTTTAAAGCTATTTCAGAAGTAATATTAAATTTTTTTTTTTTTTTTAAATTCGGCAGTTATGCCAAAACTTTATTAAACCTAAATTAACAAACTATACCATCAACTAATTTTACCAAAACAATTACTTTGGTTATCTAAGTTACAAGTTTTGGCTAACCCAGTTGCATCAAATATGTACCTATGTTTGACCTACTATAGTAGAATTTTATCTCTCTACTCATCTCTCCTGCTACCAAAGAAAATAAATAGATTACTAAACAGTATCTACAGGTATGTCATGATTGCTAATTTCCTTAAGACCCTCCTCTTCTTAATATCCAAGCAAGAGAATTCCATAATCTTTGCATAGATTGCTCTAGTACTTCCTTTGAGTATATATCATGATATTTTTTAATTATGTTTAGCCAATGAATTAGTTCAATATCAGGTTTTTTAATTACACTTATATCTTCCTTTTCAAACTCAATTACCCAAATACTGTCAACTTCAAATAGATTTCCTATGATTTTTATTTGTGTTCTGTATTCAAATATCTTATTATTTTCTAATACTGAAGATATGCAACTAATAGTGATCAAAGATATGCAGCTAATAGTAGCTGAAGCATTATCAATTATATACTTTTTTTTTTCCACCAACTACTTCAACAATTAAGTCTATAACTTCTACCATCTTAATTAAATGATTCTTATAAAAGAAACCACTTAACTTTAGATCTTCAGTGTATGCTAATCAAAGATTTAACAAGTCTCTGATAAAAGTGTTGCTATTTTTGTATAGTGTATATCTAGCTTTGACTTGAAAGTGTTATTTTTAATCAATAAGTAATATCAAATTTTTAATCTACAATATTGTTAAATTAATATGGTTTAATTTTAAAACTATTTTAATAAATATAGAGCTAAGTAAATTTGCAGTTGTTAAAAATGATTTAATATCAAAAAATATTTGTAAAATAAAAACCAAAGCATATCAAGAGGTTTTTTTTTACTTTTATCAACAGTTTTAGCTATATATAAAATTTAATAATTCAAAATTCAAAATTTATTATTTATATAAATATTTATATTTAAATTTTAGATTTTATAGTCTTGTTGTTTAAAAAATAATTTCTTCATTTTATAAAATATTCTAAATATATATTTAGATTAGTATTTAGTTTTTTGATTATTTGTATTATTATCTAATTTCTTTTTTTAAAAAATATTTTGTGAATACTGTATACAAAGTTTTATATCTACTAAAAAATATTTATATTTGTTACAAAATAAGCATCATATTCAACTTTCTTTAACTAATCTTTTCTTTTTAATATATGAATTATAAAGTTAGTTTTAGTTAAAAAGAAAATATTATTAACAGACCTCAATATTAATAGTTTTTTAATAATTTTATTAAAAAACTTCAGAATCTATTTTCTATACTTTAATAAACTAGAAAATAGTCTGGTTTTAAAAGTAATTTTTATAATATATAATATTACTATCAATAATGTTTAAAATCAGGTAGCTGATAATTTCTAAGTTTATTATTAGTATTAATAGTACTTTTGACAAAATACTCATTGCTATTATTTAATTTAAATTCACAATTGAACACTAAAAATGATACTATATTGCTACTATCTATATCAGTATTGTCTTTTAAAATATTAATGTTCTCTCTTTTATTTGCTTCTGCAAGTTTACATACTTTGTTAAAGCTATTATAATTAAAAAAAGTGAGTTTAATTCAACTTTGAAGTCTAATTTATCTGCCAGAACACTTTCTAATGCTTGTATTTTTGGTATCTTTTTTATAATCTTTAGACATATACTCAAAATTATTAAAAATCACTATATTAGTATTGGTATTATAGATTTTTAATTGGCTTGTATTTATTATTATTTAAAAAAAAAAAGGATTTGACTAAAAAAATAAAAATAAAAAATAATAATTATTTAAAAAAAGAATTAAAATATAGTAACTAGCAGTGTTATGTGTATTTAAATATACTATTGTTTTGCTATTATCATTATATAAACTGTTATTATAATCTTTTGCATGTTATTATTCAAAAGACAAATTCAGAATTAAATACAAAATAATTAATTTTTTTTTTTTTAAAAAAAAATTGTTACTTAGTATCATCAAAAAAAAAATTATACAACTTTGACTCAAGATTCTTTTAAACTAGAAGTATCGCAGCATATAAAACTAGATTATTTACAAAAAAAAGACAGAGATATGCTGTACTTAAGAAGGTATGATAGTATATTTTATGTCATAAGGGTATTGCTATAGAAAGGAAGTTTGCTTTTACGAGGATTTTTTATAGAAATTGAGTGATACAAATTAAGTGACAAATTTATCATTATTCGCAAGGGTTGAGGCTTAAACCGATAAACTTGAATTATACCCCTGAAAAGTAAAATCGGTTTAAAAAATTGGGTTACTTTAAATTAAGATTCTTTTAAAACTATAAGCGCTATACTGTAAAAAATAAAATAGTTTGTGAGAAAAAAAAACAAAGATCCAATTAACTTATCATAATACACAAAATATCTTACGTTATAAAGGTGCTAACTTAAAGGTAAAATTGCTTTTGACAACAATTTTCTAATATTAACTATAAAAAATTAGATGCATAAACCGGCGTTGATCTCTTAATTAATACACTTGCCAATAAATTAAAGGGTTTATAAAATGTATATACCGGTATATGTAATAACGGAATGATACGGTTAGTGATCTAGTTGTAACTAGTAATGTGACTAGAGTTCCAGTCAGATCGGATCAAACTTATATTTGAATCATATATTTGATTTTCGAAAATGAGTCACCAATGGTGTTTAACATCACACTTGTTATATCTCAAAAATTGATTATTAATGCTTAGTATCTTAAATAAAATCTCGAAAACGTTATATATACTATTAAAATCTTACTTTTAATATTAACACTTACCTTAACATACAACAACGCCCTAACCCTAAATTTTAATGGTGTTAAAAACCACTCATCGCTTGTGCTTTATATTATTCTTCGAAAGCTTGCAATAATAATTATATATTTTGTGAACAATAGGCACTTATTCACGTGATAAAATCAACTGTTCCTTGAACTATATACCGATACCTCTACAAATCACTAATCAATGTAATGGTAATGAAATCTTAAATCGCAATGCGCATTGAGTCACTCATCTATGATACGTATCGATATCCATGATGCAAAGATGGGATGATGCATTGATTACTTTTATAGAATCAATCTGTTTAAATATGTTAAACATGATTGTTATATATACATGATGGGTATAAACTTTCTCATTTTTGTTGTATCTTGTTAAGTCTAACACGTATTTAACAGCTTTTCATAAGGCAAAAAATATTCTTAATATCCTCTTTAATAAGTCATGCCGAAATACATCATATTACTTATATTCATGACCATATTTCTTATCGTGATAATGCGAACCGTAGAGCCTCTTCCCCTAAAATTACGTTCTCAGCCTTTATCACCCTCCATGACGTCATCCCCTCCTATGACGCCCTTGTCGAGCACGAATGCTTCTCCTACCAGTGTGAATCCGCACACAATAGATAATACTCCAAATCATAATGTAAATCATAATCATAATTCAAATCCTAATACAAATCCCAATGCAAATCCTAATGCAAATCCTAATGCAAATCCTAATGCTTCACCAAAGAACCCTACGCATCAATCACCACCTGAAGAAACTTATCCTACTAATACGAATGATGACATTCCAGTTACACATGTACCGCCGCAGACTACACAAGTTAACCCGGTTAATCCGGTAACAAGAAATATCGCTCCGTTAGGCGGAATGCCTTATAATAATATCAATAACAATATTGTACCATTCATGTACAAACGCTCTAATAACGCGTATAGTGTTCCATATAACATTCATAAAAGGAGAATGATTCCGAATTTCGGAATGTTGTATCATAATCCTCATTTATATAGGCGTAGTAGTCCTTTGATTCCTATTATCGGTAGTGAATATCATGGTGCTTGGTTTTAAAATTTTGAATGAAATAATAACTTTCTAGATCACGTTATTCTGTCGACATGCTGAATGCAATTTTTTTTTTTTTATTAATAACTTTAAATAGTTTGTTTGTCTTAAAAAGTAAAATAATAAATTCTTACGAAATCTTTTTATAATTATCTAAAAATAATCGCAATTATTTCAAATTCGGTCTATTTCAAGTGATATAAATAATTTAGGTTCGTTTAATCTTTGTATTTGTTAAATGTAGCGTATTACGATTCACTTTTAATCAACTGTTTAGGTATGAGTGAAACCCTAGATGACAGTATTATAGTTGTTTTTGGAAACCTAGTTTCAAAGACAAAATCTGGTTTCGAAAGTGATGAAACTGCAATAGTCCGATAAGTAATAATAAATTGGAGTAACAAATTATTAATAAAACTAATAATTGATAATTGTGCTACGTATACATAGCTTTCAGAGAAACTTATCGTCATAATGTTACATTGATAATATACAAATCGAAAAAAGATGAATGCTTATTGTCACAACTGATACTTCGCGTTTTATTAAACACTAGAAGAAATTGCTCAAAATTAGTATAGCTTCGTTTCTTTTTAAGGCGCAAAATGAAAATTATGTACTCTTATAATTAATTAGTCGCATCGCCACCTATTACAGTAGAAGCTAAGGTTTTGAATCATTGCCTGGAAAATTATTTTTAGAAAAAATACTCCAAACACGAACGAAGCCTGCGCATAATACAGTAATTGCAGGAAATCATTATTATTACCATTACATTCGATATTAATTTTTGTTACTTTAGATTAGAAGATCTGTAAAGTAACCTTTTTAAAATTTTTAAAACTGGTTTCAGGCAAATTTTTTCGAAATTTCATTATGCTTCCACAGTTGATTTTTAGATTAAGTCTTCAAGACTACAGTATTTGTGCATTTAACAAACACAACATCCAGTTTAATAAATTAATATTCTAGCGCAATTCATGCTTGGTAATTGGACATTTAAAATTTTTATTAAAAAAAATATATATATATTAACTTATTTTTTTTTTCTTTACTAGTATTACATAGTTAAAAGTTACACAAGTTTGTTGCGCGAAAAATAATCGAGATTGATTGAAACAATTGAATAATTTTTAAGATTGAAATCAAAGGAAGTTGACTAAATAGAGGTGATAAAGAATTGTAAACATTTATGCAAGTCGTAAACTATTATTGTTTTTTTTTTATAAAACTTGCTATCATAATGCATACAGTAGTTTGTTTTAGAATTACAGTTATGAATTCTGCATTATATGATTCATTGTAAAAAATTTTGCTATAAAACTTGAGGTTATGATGGTATGTATATAGTATACTTGTATAAAAAGTATAATAATTATATAATTCAGTAAATAAAATGCATAAGCTTTTTACGCATTTAAAATATTGTTAAATTTTATGTCAAATTATTATAGTATTTATTTATTAATATAAAATTTAAAGTTTTAACTTGTATTATATAGTTAAAATATTTGCAATTTTAGTTGTATTAACAAAACTAGCAATTAAAAATATTCTTGTAATATACAAAAAAAAATACAATTTAGTAGTAAAATAATTAAATACTAAATATTATTTTAAAAAAAACATTAAATGCTATTAAGATTAGGATAAAGGTGAATTTTGGTTGAAGGCGAGAAGAGTAGTTTATACCAAAATTTCACAAGTTTTTTTTATTAATATTCGAAAGGTGGTTTTATAAATAATTTTTTAAAAACAATAATTTTGCATTTGTAATCTGATTGGCTTTTTATATTATCCGTGTATATATACATAACGATAAGTGTTCAAATAGAAATTACCTTAAAAATTATTAACAAAAATCTTTTGATTACGTAAAATAAAGTAGTCTATCTAAGCCATAAAATGAATTTTTACTATTAAAATTCCCTCATATATATCAAACTTTAATATAATCCCTTGTTAATATCACTATCAACATGAATTTAATCAATTCAATAAACGAGGGTATATAGACTGTATATACTTTTCTAAATACCTAATGCTAAAAAGTACCGGTAGTAGAAAAATCCATGGTTAAATGCTACAAATTCTATTTTAGCACGCCAATCATTTTGCCAGATCGAAAGTTTCATTGGTCACATGACCAAAATTTTATCGCTATCACAGATCAGATTTTAAACACCGAAGGTTTACTTTAACGTTAAGCAATTATACATTTCCTCAACATAAGCCACGTTTTCGTATTTATTTGTATAATAGCATTATCCACAACACGATACATTCATCATAATATTATAAAAATGCTTTCGTTTACTAATATAGCGCAACCTTTATCAGGACTTCGATTTTTATTAGAATTCGAGGTGTTGTCTTCCTCCAAAAATTTTGTCTTTCGTCGACTTTCGCCAGGGTTTTCACCTTTTGCAAGAGGTTTCATCTTTCGTCAGGGATTCGCAACTTCACAAGGGGGTTTAGTCTTTCTCCATTTACGTAAAATGGTTTCACCTAACAATTATAGAGAATTTAATAGTACCGGTGTGTGTTTTGGTAAGTTATGATCAAAATTATCAAACTTGTTCCGACATCACTTTTATATTAATTCGGTAGCATCTCGGTAACAATCACATCTCGAATCAAAGCTCAAAAAACCCGGAGATTGATCGCAAAACCTGGTAAAAAAAAAATTGAACCAAAACCATTAGCATTCGAAGAAGATACATTGGATCTAGAAAATGCTGACCTATTTCCGATCATCGAAACTCAATCTGTATCACAGACAACCAATCTACCTCCCGGAATAACACAAACATTTCATGAAATATATACTCATATTAATGAACGTACTCAACTTTCAACTCAATCTTATGAATTGCCACGTCATACTCGTCTTAACAATTTAATATATCACACGACGACTCGTGCAGAGGCTGAATTACTCTGTGGGCTCGTCGCTCAATGGCGTCGAAAGTTATTACCAATAACTTCAATAATTTCAAGATTTTTGATAAAGAAATTATGTGAAATTGATGCTCATCATTTAGTATTTAATATGTTAGCTGATAGAACAAAGTATGCTCTAAAACCAAATGTTGAGATGTTTAGATGGATTATGCTGGCTTATGCGAATGAGGTGACCAAACTTGTTGAAGATACCACACGAATTATTAAAAGTGAAGATAAAAGTGAAGATAAAAATGAAGGCAAAAGTGATACTGAATTGGTATTAGATGATTTATACAGAACTTTTGGCTTAATGCCGTATTATGACGTGCCACAGTTCGACGTACATCTTTACACAATTATGTTATCAACATCTATAAAATTAGAGTCATGGCAATTAGTTGATGAAGTTGCTAAAGAACTTATAGATCATTTAGATGAACCTCACAATCGAGGAAAAGAAATATTTGGAGTGTATAATGATATTGAAAAATATAGTGATGAGATAAGGATATCATGGTTAACATCAAGTTTAGATGTATTCATTATATTAGAAAAGTGGTATGGAGAAAATAATAATTTGATATACGTGGAAAAGTTTAAGAATTTACAGGAACAATGGAAAAATGAAATAAAAAAAGTACAAGAAACATCTTTTTAATCAAAGCTTTACAAAATTCCCTTTTCTTGATAGAAAGTTAATGAACGATAAATACGAATTTACTATTTATGATCTATCGATACAAATTTTCATGTGGTAATGAAAAAGATGAATAAATTTTTATTTTTACATTAAATTAAGTGTCATAATAAGTGGCATTATTATCTAAATCTATATATACGTTATTTGAACCCAGGTTCAAGTAAATTATTTTCTCGATTGTCTTCGATACCGTTCGTTGATATGCCAAACATTTCGATTACTTTTTTGTTGCTTTAGTCTATATAACTAGTCTACAATATTGAAAAAATTTTTTGAAAAAAGGTTATAAGAACGAAATAAAATTGATTTGAAACCTACTTAGAATATCTATAATCTAATTCTTACCCTAACTCTAATCTTCTATTGCGTCAATCACCTCTTTTGCCCAGCAAATTCATTATTTGTGTTTTGAACGTATATAATAAATTTTTAAAAATGCTTTTCAATAGAAAATTTCGCCACTTGATTGCTTTGGTGATTCCCAATCCTTTAATTTAAATTATTATTGTTTCTGTCATTCATGAATACATGGCGAATGCTTAAGTTGAAATTAATTTTATTTAGGATTATTTTAACAAAAAATATTTTAGAGGTTTTAAATATTTTAGAGGTTTTCATTCTTTATAATCAATTCGGTCGGAAGTATGAAAAAAATTTGCGAATTCATACGGCTCTTTTTGTTGTAAAAACAAGAAATCGCCCATTTTCAACAAACTTATAATTAGGCACTATACGTTCCAAATTATTGATAATACAGTATGGTGCAGGACATCTAATCACATCATAGCGCTGAATTTTGAAATATATATATGAGTGTAGCCAAGGCAAAACCTGTAAGCAAATATTTGAGGTATCAATAAGGCGAGTTTAATCCTGGAAAAATATTATGTATTAAATCATTGTATACAAATTTTATACAATGATTTAATACGTAATGTCACAATTTTCCCAGGATTAAACTCGCCTTATTGATACCTCAAATATTTGCTTACAGGTTTTGCCTTGGCAGCACTCATATATAGTATATAGTGCTGAATTTTAAAAATTATATATATAATAGTGCTGAATTTTAAAATTTATATATAAAATATACAGTAATAGTGCTGAATTTTAAAATTTATATAATAATTTAATAGTGCTGAAATTTTAAAAGAGAGAGAATAAAAAAAAAATATAAAAAAAAGAAAAAATAAAGAAAAAAAAAAAAGAAAATTTATAATAACTAAATTTTTTTAATATACATAATACAAGTGCTGAATTTTTAACTCTTATTAATAAAATAATGAGCTGAATTTTTTAACTTTAATATAAAATTAAAGGATTTTTAAACCAAAATTAAAAAGTTTTTTTAAAAAAACTTTCTATAACTATATTCTTTAGGTCTCAAGTAATATAATTATAGAAAGATTTTTTAAAATGGTATTTTTAGTTAAAAAGTCATTAAACTTTTATTAGAGCCAATTATTTTGTGATGTCCTGCACCATATAATGTTTTTAATTATCAAAGATCTTGGTCTCTTTTCGTTTTTTAAATTTTCTTTTAATATGTAAATGTTTTTCGTAAATTCTGGGACGATGTCAGTAGCTTATTCTGATTTGGTAACTTATTCGATCATTATAACTGTTCTCAGAATTATGAAGGCAGTTATAACGACTTTTTTTCTATATCTCTTCGTGCTGTAGTGTTTGGAGTAGATTCTTAACCCAGTGACCTTTGCAGATCACGATGTCATGTGAAATCGGAGATAACAGGAACGTAGTTCATAAAAATGTCAATGAATTCAATATAAAATCTGATTGGCTAGTTTGATTAAACTGACCAATCAGATTCGTTATTGAGTCCATTGCTTGAGAACACCCTTAGTTTTAAATGTATCTCTATACAGTATTTTGAAGTCTTCATTAATAAACATCAACTAATTCGTTAAATGAAGTTACGCAATGCAATATAAGCATATCCTCAATAAATATGATAAGTCCGTAATGTATTCTTTCATGGTGTTAAATGTCAACAGCAAAACAACCAGAAAAATCATTCGATTAGAAGTTACTGAAATATCCAACGAAGTTAATCAAATATATTTAGAAGATAAGTCACAGGATTTTCTTAATGAGGTTATTAAAGAAATGTATGATATGTTTTATGAGGAAGAATTGAAAAGCAGATACGACAGTTCAGTTCTTGACACCTTAGAACAATTTCTAGTAAAAAAAAAGCAAAATCCGGATAACATTATCAAATATTGCTTAAATAATCAATTCGATTCTACGGTTCAATTCATTCTTGCAATTTGTTATGAGAATGGCAAATGGGTTGAAATGGATGAACATAAGGCATTCATTTATTATAAAAAATCTGCAGAAATGGGTGACGCTATTGGAACATTTTATGTTGGAGATTGTTATTATTATGGAATTGGTGTTGAAAAGGATGAATGCAAGGCATTCATTTATTATCAAAAATCTGTAGAGATGGGGAATGCTTTCGGAACGAATGATGTTGGATATTGTTATGAAAATGGAATTGGAGTTAAAATAGATAAATATAAGGGATTCATTTATTATCAAAAATCAGCAGAGATGGGAGACGCTACGGGAACACATAATGTTGGAAATTGTTATGAAAATGGAAATGGAGTTTACAAGGATGAACAAAAGGCCTTTGAATATTATTTAAAAGTGCCGGATATGGAAATAGTTGTGGTATGCATCAAGTTGGAAGGTGTTATCATTCTGGAATTGGAGTAGAAAAGAATAAAGATTTAGCTTTTGAATGGTATTTAAAATCAGCTGTTACTGAACATGAATGCTCTAAACATAAATATTTCCGGTGGATTTTCCGTAGTGTATAAAACATCATTTGAAACATACGAAGAAGTTGCAATCAAAATTATAAAAGATTCATACAAAAATAATGAACTTTTTTTAAACGAGGTATTTTTTTTTTACACATAAATTTATATTATTTATTTATTTATATTGATTATGAATTGATTATGAATTGACAACATTTTAGTTAAAGGCATATCACGAATTTGGAGAATACCATGGCATATCAAAGGATAAAAATAGCGGAGATTTTATTTTAGTGATAAGTTACGCAAAATTTGGATCATTACGAGAAAATCTTAAAGATATATTTAAAATGGAGTGGAAAATTAAACTAAAAATATTATGCGACATCATTTATAACCTAATACATATTCATTCAAAAAAATTTATACATCGAGATTTACATTCTGGTAATATTTTATTAAAAGATGGATATGAAGCTTATATTACAGATTTAGGTTTATCAATATCGTTTGATGAAAAACAAGATGGTCGTATTTATGGTGTTATACCTTATTTAGCTCCTGAAGTCTTGAAAGGTGATCATCTTACTCAAGCTGCCGATATTTATAGCTTTGGAATTATTATGATAGAATTATTAACTGGTCGAAGCCCTTTCGATGGTTACAATCTTGATGTTGAATTAGCTCTAATGATTTGTCATGGTTTGCGACCTGAATTTATTATAGATTCTCCAAAATGTTATGTTGAATTAGCCAATCAATGTATTGATGAAGATATGAAAAAAAGACCTACTGCTGTTGAGATTCTTTATAAACTTAATAAATGGAAAAAAATTCTAGTCGCCAATGACTGTAATTACGATGAAGAAATGAAAAAAAAACTACAACTGTTGAGATTCTCGATATACCTAAAAAATGGCCAAAAATTTTAAATAAACTTAAAAAATGGCCAAAAAAAATTCTAGATAAACTTAAAAAACGGCAAAAAATTCTAGCTGTCAATGACAGTAATTACGATAATGACAATGACAGTGATTACGATAGCGATTATGAGATCAAACAGCAATTTTTAGAAGCTGATAAACTAATCAAAGAATTGCCAATTATTACGCAAAAACACGAAAATAATGTATACCTCTAAACTTATTGATACTAGAAGGATTGGTTCTGAATTTGAAAGTTTTAAAATTAGTCAAGATCTTAAACTAAGTAATGAGGTCTATATTGATTTATAATTCATTTTTATGATTTTTTATGAATAATAAGGTTAAAAAATATTTCTTATATTGAGTTTTTTATTTATATTATTTTATTTTCATTAATTCGGTGTAAGCATAAAAAACATCTTAAGTAATATAAGTAAAAAATTGGGTACGTAATCGCTGCTTAAAATTTGATCTAAGCTTGAGTGTTGTTTTGGTTAACATGAAACTTATGAAATCACGATTTTTCAAATAAACCATAATTTTTCTTTATTATTTTAAGAATTTATTTAGTCATTTGTAAATATTGAATCTGGTTATGTCTAAATTTAATAAACATTTTAAAATGCATTTTATCTTCAAATTCAAATACCTAAGATTTATTTACATTCAATTTCAGTTTTTTAGTTCAAAATCTTTAAACTGCTATTATTTTTTAGATTATTAATATAAGTTGTTCCTCATTTTTATGTATACGCGGTTTTAGAAATTTTTTTATCATTAAATCGCATTTTTTATCATGCACTCCATAGAATTTGTTTTTTTTTAAACTTTGGGTAAAGATATTTTAACAACGACCCAGCCAAATTCAACAGATATGTAGAAGTAAAATAAAAAAAAATTCATCAAATTTGGTTAGGTAGTTGCCGAGATATCTTTCATTCAAAGGTTTACAAAAATTGTGCCACAGCTATCAATGAGCGTTTCGAAGATATTTTGACAACCACCTAACCAAATTCAATGATATTTTTTTTAATTCTACAGATCTGTAGAATTCAAATAAAAAAATTTCATCAAATTTGGCTAGGTAGTTGCCAATATATCTTCGTTCAAAGTTTTGGAATGTTATCAATTATAACCGCAGCAAAATTTTTATAAAACTTTGAATGAAGATATCCTGACAGCCACCCAACCCAATTCGATAAATTTTAATTTGATTTTACAAATCTGTAGAATTCAA